CCCCCCACAACCCCCCCGCGAGACAAAATTGAAGAGAGAAGCCTCCGTGGCCCGCCCTGTCCAGTGTTGGTTTATTGGTGACGTCAACAAATTTTCTCCAACACTTCCACCGCAGTTGTCGTAGTGTCGAACACGATCGTCGTCGTGCCGATGACTCGACGATGGTCGTCGTGTCCGACACGATGGTCGTCGTGTCGAACACGATCGTCGTCGTGTCAAACACGATCGTCATCGTGACGACCACGACCGTCGTCGTGTCGAACACGATCGTCATCGTGTCCGGCACGATCGTCGTCGTATCCAACACGATGGTCGTCGTGTCCATCACGATCGTCGTCGGGTCGAACACGATGGTGGTCGTGTCGAGCACGATGGTCGTCGTTTCCGACACACGATGGTCGTCGTCATGTCGTACACGATCGTCGTCGTGTCCGACACGATCGTCAAATCGTGTATGACAGTCGTAACACGATCGTCGTCATGTTCGACACGATCGTCGTCGTGTCCGGCACGATCGTCGTCGTGTCAAACACGATGATCGTCGTGTCCAACACGTTTGTCGTCTAGTCGAGCGTGCTCGTCATCGTGCCCTGCACGGTCGTCGTCGTGCCGAGCACGATCGTCGAGCACGATCGTCGAATGTGGTCATCGAACACGATCGTCGTGTTGGACACGATCGTGGTCGTGTCGACCACGGTCGTCGTCGTCGTGTCAAACGCGATCGTGGTCGTGTCGAACACCATCATGGTCGTGTCAAACGCGATCATGGTCGTGTCGAACACCATCATGGTCGTGTCAAACGCGCTCATCATCCGGGTCATGGTCGTGTCGAACACCCTGCTCGTTTTCGTCACGACAGTGGCGCTGTGGCTCCTGGGTTCCAGGGAAGAAAAACACTGCTTCGCGTTCGGCACGGCAAAGGGCGTTGAGGGCTTACCCCCACCTTCGCTTCGACTTGCACGAGGTTTAGTGCGAGTTGCACCAGCGGAACATAGTAGTACCCGGGTGACTGTCTTTTGTCTCTTGTCACACTGACTGCTTATTGCAAGATTGTGATAATATAAAATGGAGTCCCTATCGTGTTGGGTGCGACATTGGCGTTGCTGCAGTCGTTTCCCTGCTCAGTCTGGGGTTCTGGAAACCCGTCGTGTGCGGTCGATCGAACTCTGCGCAAATTTTGCTTCGAATCCTCGGAGTCTGGTACCCGAGAATCAAAACCGGGGACCCTTCCGTGTTGGACGAGGCGGTCGAGTTGCCACGATGGTTTTCCTGCTCACTCGTGGCAGTTTTCCTGCTCGCTCTGCACCGTGGGAACCACTCGTGTCCTGTCGCTGAAGTTCCTGAAGTAACATCAGTTCTGTGTTCTGCAAACCTGTGTCGTTCTTAATCTTTCCTATCAATGCCCTCGTGCCAAGCTGTGTGCTGCGCGCCAGGGTCTTCGCCTTTCCGATGTTGGTGGCCGCTGGGTTACGCGCGTCTTGGTCTCTGCCTTTCCGAAGCCGGTGCCCGACGTGACATGTGCTGCGTTTCCTTTTGCCCATCAAGATCTCCGCCGTTTCACTCCTGTTGCACGCTGTGTTTTTTGCGTCATAATCACTGCCTTTCCGATACTGGTGCCCGACTTAACATGTGCTACGGTCCCCACTCTCGTTTGATCTCCAACTTCGACAGACACTTTTGCGTGCGTTACGCCTTTGGCACAGATTGCCCTGATGACTAGACTGCTGCTCAGATTCCAAGGTCGTGTGTTATCCTCACTCGGATGTTTCATGTTCCCCTTCGTTCCGTGTAGGGCTGTGTTTCTCGGTGTCATTTATAGCGCTGTGTTTCTAGCTGTTGTGTAGGGATGGTTGTCTGCTCCCTTGCATTGACCTCTGATTTGCTACTTTGACAGTGGTCCGCTGTTTTGTTGTCGCAGACATGCCTCGTGCATGGTTTGTGGTGTTCATGCTATGCCACGGCAGGCTTGCAGCACAACCTTGGAAAGCATGGACTGTGTGGCGTCTAATACAATGCACAATGAGGATTTTCCTCCACCGCACCTGCCAATGTGTTCACAAGATGTTTGAAGTAGTCACGAGCGTGTCGATAATGCTCCGGAATCTCGTGCTCATAAGAGGTCACGAAATATTGCGTGTGCGGACACTACATGTGAAAGTGCGTATCCGGTCCTTCGCTGCCCGGTTCGAACCTCTAATGCAGAGAGTGCAGAAAGTCAGCAGGGTAAGGTCTCCTCTGTTGATAACAATGTATCCGATGTAGACCGTGTTGTATGGGTGTCGAGGAGTTCACTTCGAGATTTCAAGTACACAGGTCTTCTGTTTGGTGAGAGTGATGAACGTGGTTCATATTCAAGTGCTTCGGGGTCGTCTAGTGCTGATAGTTCTCCAGATAAAACCGATCATCCGCAAACGTACAGTGACCGGAACACTGACCACTGTTGTCGAAATGACGATGAGAATTGTGATGTGATCTCTGATTTCGATGACATTTTTTCAAAACGACTGTCCTCAGAGAAGCGTCCTTATACTTTTCGTGTCAGAATGTCGCGGTCAAAGAAGATTTTGCAATCAGTTCATAAAAAACTCACCAAAAAAACACTGGCGAGTGTGCATTGACAAGTTTGTTGTAAGCGAGAGTGTTGCGCTCAAATGGCCCTGGACGACATCAAAGTTGTCCGGAGCGCATACTACTCTAAGAACCAGCAGAGCAGGGATGCATGGTGGGTTGAAACGTTGAAGAGGTTCACCTTCATAGAAGATGAGAAGAAGATTGTTCAACCTATTGTGGGGAGACGAAAGGTGTCCATTAGTTCTTCGTGTTTCACACTAGGTATATGTAGGAATACATTTCTCAAAAAAAGGATGACTTTGTCAAAAGGCTACATTATGCCGGAGCATGGCAGTACTGGACTCGGACGCACATCAGCAACATATGCGACGATGTACGGGAAACTAAGCTCCTTTGTGCGAGACAACGGAGATTCCATGCCCAATGACATGAAGATCAAAGAGGGGGAATCGAGAGTGGTGTTGAGATTGCCTACTTGCTATAACAAGGTTGATATTTATAAGTTGCTAAAGTCGCAATTCGACAACATGGGTGCTCCTTGTGTTTCTCTCCAAGTTTTCTACAACATGTGGAGAACGCAGTTCTGGCATGTGAAATTTCATAACATTGATCAAAACTTTGCGAAATGCGATAAATGTGTCGAATACAAAAAATCTATAAATTCCGCAAAGTTCGTACGTGTGCGTGAGTACTTTTTGTTTTGCTACGCGAGAAACACTTGGACTTGCAGCTCCAACATCATGTTGCGTATGAGGTGTGGAAGGATGAGTCAAAGAGACCAGGTTCCAACAGTTTATGCATCATCATTGACAGCATGGACCAAAGCAAGACCAGCACTCCACACTTTGGCGGAGAGAACAAATCGAACGCATTCGCAAATATTCCGATGTTGAAAACGAATTTAACAGCTATTATTGCACACGGCCGCTCACCATCGGTCCCTGTTCACACATGGTACCCTTGCTATCCACACGATTCTAATGATGTAGTGTCATCCATTATGAAATTTCTCCATGTCATCCAAGCAATAAGCGACTTGTCTCCTAAACTGAGGATACAAACTGACAACTGTTGGAGAGAAAACAAAAACAGATACGTTCTGGCACTTGCTGCAGCTTTGGTAAAATTTGGCTTCTTCAAAGAAGTCGAATTCGGTTTTATGTTAGTGGGACACACACACACGGACGTTGATGCCACTTTCAGTCATTTCTCTCGCAAACTGAAAATGCACAAGCTCGTTGCAAGTTCTAAAAAAGAACGTCCATCGTGCACATTCATGGATGAAATTCCTGATCGGCGTGCTGCTGTTAAGCCCTTCCTGGTCAAGAGACTAACCGGTCATACTCGTCCACATGCATTTAGGTTTTACATGTAGGATGACAATCCTGTGTTCCAGTGGAAAGAGTATTGCACTTCTCCTGAATGGTCTGCTCCAGTCTATTGCTTTAAACGAGATGGAAACAAAGCATATGCTCGACCTGAATGACCATTTGTGGCATCACTTGTTCCGCCGTCAGCTTTTTTGCCTACTAAAGATAGAAATTCGGATTTCGAATCACGAATTGAAGGTGTGAACACGTTTGTTGGGTGCTTGGAGAATAAGCGGCACGAGTGGTTCGTAATGAAATGTGAGGTTAGCTTCTCAAAGGAGAGTGTTATTTCACACTGGAAAACTTTCCTCGAGACAGTCGAGGAGCATTACGGGTCCGGGTTTGCGAAAACTTCACTCAAGGCTGGTTTCTGACCCTCACAAGACAAAATTAAGAAGGATGATCCAAATGATACTGATATTGCCTTCCTCTTGAAGAGCAATGAGCATAAGGAGTCGTTGTTCGATGGACCGGCCAATGAGCGTCCAAAGACGGAGCTCAACCCAGTTGTGGATGTCCGAAAAGGTCAATTCGTTCTCTTGCGTCCTTCCCAAGAAGATATGGATTAGGGAGTTCGCATATGGATGGGTAGAGTCATTTCCGATGTAGACAACGATATGAAGTCGCCAACTTTTAATCATATTCTTATTTAATATTTGGTGTCACAACCTATTGCCAAACGTCTTTCTGTGCAATATTCGAACGCATGGAAGAAGACGTGGAAGAAAGACAACACAACATCACATCAGTGGCAGCATGTAAACTGTGTTGTGTGGAGCTGGACATCGAAAACATTGCATTTGGAAAATTGAGTGCGCATTCCAAAATCGGCCAGAGAGAAGGCCTTGGTATGCCTTTCACTTCCCGATGATGAAGATCAGTAGGTTTTAAATAGGTTTTGAAGAAGAGCTAATCGTATTTCTTTACACGTATTAGTACGTTATTTAATTGTCACTTAGCTTTCATTTATATATATATTTAAACTGTATTTTCATGTGTTGCAGAATGGTTCAACCATTTGTGACGACTGGATGGCCGCCAAGTAACATGGTGTGGGGAAGAAATATATGACATGATATGGGTCCTGTTTTCTTCACATCTGAAGTGATCTTTGACAGTGCAGTACTCAGTGTCAGAGGTGTGGATGCCCCACCGGAAGACTGGGAACATTATCCTCGAGAATCACTGTATATTTGTGGTCGCAGGTGTTGTGGAACGAGAACATACCCGCGAGAAGTGCTCGCACCCTTTTCGGAATTGTATTATTCAACAGTGAAATTCTGCCACAACAATTTCAACGTGATGACCTTGTTTTGTGTGGCGGCAACTGTTCGAGGTCAATGCAAAGTATCTTTCCTTATTCATAATGACTATTCTGCAAGTGCAAGTGTTTCCATTGCAGACAACATCAATGAATGAAGATGGCAAGAATTCCAAAGGAGGATCATGGAGCAACCGTCACTCAAAACACTCATGGATGGGCTTGTGGACAC